TCTTACCAAGATGGATTTTGGGATCCATGGTTGCATTTTTTTTCTTTTTGTGTGTGTGACTGCACATCATCTCGAAATATGTGTCAAGGTCACATCTGCTCATGGGTGTACCCTGACTGGTGCCATCTGTCATTATCAGCCGGTCGAGTCTTGCATTACGCACACGGCCATCACCTGAAATACTGTCTGTCAGCACATGCAGACATACATGGATTTAGTCTTCATATAAAGAAGAGAAAAAAAACTACACTGAACTTTTACTGGCTTGTTGTGTGTCTGGGAGCCATAATTGAATATCTAACACATGTTTTTCCACCTCTCTCTAAATGAATACATATTTTCATTGCTCTTTATTACAGATGAGAAGGTGTACTTATTTTTGCTGATAGTGCTTCATTGTAGCAAGTATGAAGTATGTGTAGGTGGCAGGATGCATATCTATTCCCTTTCCAGCTACATTTGTTTTGTTTTTTTCTTCAATTACAGCAGAAAGCCTCATAAAATGAACCGTCTGTATGCCAACACATTGCATCTGTGCTTTGTGTTTCCACCGAAGCAGCAAATAAACAGCAAGCAGCATTGTTTATATTATATCATACATGTGATTCGATTAATTTGATGAAAAGTCCGTATCTTCTTGCTTCGTTTTCTTTATTCGGTTCAGTGAAGTTGGAATTTATATGGCCTGGCACAGAAATGAATGCATAAATCTACTAATCATTAGGAAAATTTGTACGTGTGTGAAGGAGAATTTGATTTGAAAAATGCAAAGGGTATAGGATTCTGAGTTTGATTTACGCTTTGTGTGTCGATCCCTCAGAGATTCAGAGGGCCGGAAGCTGTGTAAGAAAGTGAAGGTGGACCCGAGCTCCAAACGTGGAAGAGCAGAGCTGCTGCATTACAAGTGAGTAACCAGCAACTCAGCTGGCTGTCAGATGCTTATCCACACCTCAGTGCTTTTTGGAAAGCGATACGGTGCTTGCAGCTTAAGAAGTGCATTACTTACAGTTCACTCCTGGTGTTGAGAGCATTGTGTCCCGTGTGTCTTTCAGAGATGGGACATTCCACACGGAGTACAGCAGGCCTGCTACTTTCAAGGTCAGTGCTCATCTGAGAATCTGCATTCTTTACATGTCGAGCACTGTTGTCTGCTGTGTAGTATTTCCTAATTGCTCCTCACATTCAGAGGACTAATTATTTTACCTCTGGCTCTACAGAGCCCTGCCTTCTGCTTTCGTTTCTTTCTTTCTTCCTTCTTTTTCATTTTGTTATTAAGTTTATGAATGGAAAAAATGTGTGGTATTTTCCACACAAGAATATTAGACACAATGTTCATTTATTTATTTTTTTCTTTGAAAACCAAGCTTAGTTGAAAATCAGAAGCATCTGTGGTTACATGTAGTTGGCTATTTATGAAATCATTTATAACCTGCATTTTAATATCAACAGTGCATCAAATAACAGCTTGAAAACGGTGTCACTGTGTGAAAATGTGACCTTTATAGCAATGAGCCAGCAAATTCTTTATTTCTATGTGCAGCTCCCCTCAGCTTTATAGTGCCTTACAGTTAGTTTCAGCTCATTGTTTATCTGCCTGCTGTGCAACCTTGCTCTCGTGGCACAATCATACTCTCACTTTCATAGCGATGCTTTTTGTCACGGCAGGCGGTAGTTTTCAGAGGAAACGCTGCACAGATTGACTCTGCACTGTGTTCTCAGCACCAAAGAGAAGACTGAGCATGTTGACCATATTGAAGCACTTAGCAGCAAAAGAGCGAACTAAAAAGCTAAAAAAAAGAGAAAAGTCATAAGATTATCATAAACATAATTTTAGATGACTGAGAATTTTAATGATATAATGGTAACAAGCTGGTGGTATGTAGCTAACGCTGTAGCTAACGCTGTAGCTAACGCTGTAGCTAACGCTGTAGCTAACGCTGTAGCTAACGCAGCAACAGCATTATGTTAGCTTATGTTTATGATTGGTTCTGTGTATTAGTCTGGTGATAACTGGAAGCTATCGGTGTGTGTTTGTGATAATACAGTTACAACACAAAAAAATTGCAGCTGTGGAAAAAAAATGCACATCTGTCTACATACCCAGAAATTCACAAATTAACTTATTAACTTCAGTTTAACCCAAAAACTCGTGGATCTGAAACAGAAATTCAAATATGCTTTTATATCTTCGTTTGTATAACTGCGATACAACCAGTTGGCAGACAGTTGAGTTGCAAAGAGATGCGTTGCAGACAAGCTGTGCTCATTGACACAGACTGACTGTGATTGATGGCAGTGTATTGGCAGTCTGTCTGCTTTTAGTCAGCCTGAATTAAATTGCAGTTTGTCACCTTCCACAAGGGGACCTTGCAGTCGCCTCACAATCACCATACTTAACAATGTTTTATTGGTTTTATTGACTGCATCATGCAGACAGCAGCATTTATTAATGCAAACAAAATTAAGGGTATTTTCAGTGCTTTTATAATGAGCTGTAATTGGTGGCATACTGCCTAATTTGAAATGTGAATGTACTGAAATAGAGTGCAGACAGCAGCAGCATTATAGTTTAATAAGTCAAATGTAAGCAGAAAGGTAGCCTGAGTAGTGTTTTCCCTGGAAATTTTAAGTAAAGATATAGCATGACTGCTTAATCCTTACTAAAGTAACCTTGTTAACTTCAGCACAGTGGTGTCACATATTAAAACTGAAAAATACTTATTTCTACCTGGTATGATTTATTTTGGGTTGAACTTTTTAACCGGCTGTTTAAAATCCATTTTCCACCACGAAACCACACTGGTCATTTCAAACCGTTTACTCCTTCCTGGGGTGCAACTAGTGAGAGCAGCTACTCAACTAAGTGTATGTTTTTGCTTCAAGTGGTGAAAAGTGTTGGTTGTTTTTTCACTCTTAGCGGGAACAGTTTTCTTGCATATTTTCAAAGTAGCTCCATCTTCAGGTATTAAATGATCGTTGGAGGCTGACACTTGGCTCTCGCTCTCAGACATGCCCGGCCCTCGCTCTCAGACATGCCCGGCCCTCGCTCTCAGACATGCCCGGCCATGTCTCATTGTTGCACTGGGAACATAAATGCAAGCTGTTGCTATAGCAATGATATCATTACATGACACTTTTATGTCACATAAACATTTATAGAGGTGTTATGGCAGGTTATATGGTTATGACACAGCCCTAGCGTCAAATGATTGATCTTTATGTTAGCTACAAGGTGTTTGTAATAATATAAGACTGCAGCAAGCCACACCCGACAGGTTTAATATTTTTGAGCATGTGATGCAGAGCCTCTAATGATGCTCTTTACAGGTCTGCACTTTGGCTGCCTCAACTAATGCTGCCACACTAGACTGATTTAGCTTATAGCCTCCAGACCTGTTAATGAGGTCATAGCACCATCTGTTACTCTGGTTCTGTAGCAAACACATCCTGAGGAAAAAAATCAAGACCTTAATTTTGTTACCAGTTATCCAGCTGCAGGTTACATATTTAAGGATCACTCACAGGTACCTCTAGCGTGAAATGTTTGGAATACAGAGAGTGCAATATAAAATATGCATCAGCCACAGCAACCATAGAGATGTTGCTGGTCAGCTTAAAGTTTAATGCCTTTCACTGCAAGACAGCTGCTGCATATAGATATTTCCTAAAAGGCAAATTATGACTTTAGATAAAAGTGAAATTAACCATTTACTTCTCTCCTCTATAATATGGAAATCCTTCTCTTTTTATTTTTTCAATGAGTTTCTACCAGAGAAACTCGTCATAAGGTGGAAGCTGTCACTCTTTTGAATGGTGCACGGTTTTATTATTTTGTTTGCTAGGGTTTGCGCTGTTTCTCTGACAGATTAAAAGGCATCTGAAACAATAAACCTCCACAAGTCTCTGTTTCAACCATTACAAAGTAGTTCTGATAATCAAGTCGAGGTCGTTAAATGTTCCGCCTGTGCACACGCACCGTCGTTAGAGCGCTGTTAAAAGAAATATTTCCTGCTGTTGCCTCCACAGACATATGGTTCATTATATTTACAGAAAGCGTTACCAAGCCCATCAGCAGACACTTAGAGGTACTGAAATAGCGCCGACACCTCTTGGATGCATGAACATGTTCATCTATATGAGCTTCCATCTGGCACAACCTACAGCGTTGCCTCAACTAAATTTAGGAGCGACTTCGGCAACGTAAATAATCACCACTCCTTCTTTTTATGTTGGTTTTTCACCCCCATGGGATTATTTTGTTGCAGTGAAAAGTTGCTGCATGATTTGAACTGTTGGCTTTGTTGACAGGCTGTCGCAGATTTGTCGTTTTGACTTTGCTTCTTTTTTTCTCGTTCAGTCGATGGTAGCGTTTTTGAAAGACCCATCGGGGCCCCCACTGTGGGAGGAGAACCCTGAGGCTAAAGATGTCGTCCACATAGAGACAGAAAAAGTAAGTACCAATTTAAATAAACTTTTGGGCTTTGGATTAATTTAATATCCATTTAGCTCCATTTAAAAAATCCAGAACATCACTGGGGACGTACATTTACTGTGATTCACAAGCACAGCCTGCATCTTTCCTCCATTTGTCTGTTAAAGTTTTGATTAGCCCCCCGACTCTGATGCTGCAGCATCTCACCGACACAAAGCCCCGCACACAAAAAGCAACAGGCTTTATCGTCAAAGAGCTGCTCGCCGTAGTTCATGAGGTCACTCACACAGACCTGCCTTTACAGCCTAAAAACCTCCAAACGGCTCTCATCCAGACAAGTCAGATTGCAAAATCATCAAAAACTGCCAGCATATTCGCAAACAGCTACCTCATCCTTAGATAAGTATATATGGAATTTAGAAAGACCTTTGTTTTGGGACTATAGTCGCTTTGCATGGTTCACAGTTAAAATTATCCATATTTATTTTATAGTCTTGAGAGCTTGAGCAAAAGAAGACAACTGGACTTGATTTGTCAAGGCAAGCTTGAGATCCCTTCCCAGATGCTTCAATGGCTGCTCACGCTTTGCATCAGGTGATCTGAATAGTTCACATAATGAGGTGGGGCTTCATCCCTGACCTA